TTCTAGATATTTTATTAAGCTCAAGTTGATCTTGTCAAAAGGCAAGGTTATCTCAGAACTCGGGGGCTAGAATTTTTTTCCTTCTTTAATATTTGTCTGAGAGAGTTGAGGTGGAGCCAAGATGGCAGACTAAAGGCTCTCCCCCAAATCCCTTTAAATAATGACTCTAAACAAATTATAGAGCAGCAGTATCTGCACAAAAAAAAATGGATTGAAACAATTTTCCAGCCCAAGAAACTTAGAAGGTCAGCAGAAAATGTCTGTTGGACCAGGGTGTGAGAGTAGCACAGGCCATACCGGCACAGATTGGGCCCTAGCAAACCAGGAGTAGGCCTGAGGGTGTCTCAATCAGTGGCAGCAGTGGTGGTTTCCAGACCTCTCAGGCCACAGACAGTAAGGGGATTGGATAATAGGTCAGAAGATTTGCAGAGGTCCCTTTATTGTCACTGGGGACAAGGTTCTGTTGCATTGCCTATACTTGAAGCTGGGTTTCAATCCTGGGTCTTAGTCTCAGTGTAAGGAGGAGCACTAGCACAGCAGAGCTTGTGGCCACAGGGGAGCAGGGACAATTCCAAGGTTGAAAAGACTGTCTATGGTCACTCATAAACCAGTGCACAGTACAGGAGAGTAGTAAACACACCTCTCTCTAGATCATACCAACTTAGAAGAATAAAAAACCTACAGGTCCTTAAAATTGCCCCTGAAAACAGCTGCACAAAAAACTTGAAGCTTGGCACAGTGCACTTTCCACTTGGGAAGCAGAATCCCACTTTAGCATAGAATTAAAAGTCAAGAAATATGCTAGAAAATGAGCAAACAGGCTGAGTAAAAGCAGTGACTTGTTTGAGCTCTCATCCAAATCCCTCCAAATCCCTATAAAAATGACTCTAAACAAATTCTAAAGCAGCAGAACCCACAAAAAGAGAGAGTGAAACAAATTTCCAGCCAAAGACAGCCTGGGTGGTTGATCAGAAGCGTGTATCATGCCAGGTGGGGAGAGGAGCACAGTCCAGCATGAGGGCACAGGTGACAAGGAACCTGGAACAGGACTCAGAGGGATGAATCGTGGCCGGCTGTGGCAGTTTCCAGACCTCTCAACCAAGGAACGGCAAAGAAAACTTAGAAGGTCAGTGGGAAAAGTCGGTTTCTGTGGTGCTGAGAGAGAACGACTGTGGGGTTCCAGCCCCCTTTCCCGAATGAGGCCCAGGGGCGGCGGCTGCCTCTTGAACTTCTGGCCCACAGACTGAGGGGGAATCAAGTGGCTGATCAGAGGGGGATTGCAGGGATCTCTCTGATGGTGCAGGATTCTCTTGCTTTGCCTGTGCTTGGATCTGGATCACAGTTCTGGGTTGTGGTTTTAGGGCGAGAAGGAGCGCTGGCATGGTTGAGCTTTTAGTGGCTGTAGAGAGGAAACCGTCCTCACAATTCCAAGAAAGAAAAGAGTGCTCATAGACCAGAGTACAGGCCAGGAAAGGAGTAAACACCTCACCTTTGATCATAGCACCTTGGAAGAACTGAAAATTTACAGGTCCCTAGAAGTATCTCTGAACACAGCTGCACAAAACACCTGAAGCTTGGGAAAGTACATTCTCCACGCTGGAAACAGACTCCAACCTTAACAAAGAGTTTATAATTCCAGTAATTGGCCAAGATCATGAGCAAGCAGCTCAAAAAAGTCAGACTATTATCTTAATTTGATGACAAAGAAGATGAAAACACACAACCAGAAGAAGGCAACAAAGCCAAAGGTTCTACATCCAAAGTCTCCAAGAAAAATATGAATTGGTCCCAGGCCATGGAAGGGCTCAAAAAGGATTTTGAGAAGCAAGTAAGAGAAGTAGAGGAAAAACTGAGGGTGATACTAAAGGAGATCCAAAAAAAATACTGAAGAAAATATCACCTTAAAAATAGACTAACCCAAATGGCAAAAGAGGCCCAAAAAGCCAAGGAGGAGAAAAATGCTTTAAAAAGCAAAATTGGCCAAATGGAATAAGAAGTCCAAAAGCTTACTGAAGAAAATACTTCCTTAAAAATTAGAATGGAGAAATTGGAAACTAGTGACGATTTGAGAAATCAAGGCATTGTAACACGAATCTAAAAGAATGAAAAAATAGAAGAGAATGTGAAATATCTCATTGGAAAAATGACTTGGAAAATAGATCCAGGAGAGAGAACTTAAAAATTATTAGACTCTCTGAAAACCAGGATCAAAAAAAGAGTCTAGACATCATCTTTCAAGAAATTACCAAGGAAAACTGCCCTGATATTTTAGAACCAGAGGGTAAAATAGAAATTGAAAGAATCCACCGATCACCTCCTGAAAGAGATCCCCAAAGGAAAACTCCTAGGAATGTTGTAGCCAAATTCCAGAATTACCAGGTCTAGGAGAAGATATTGCAAGCAGCCT